GACCCACAGCACCCCTAGAGGACAGAGTGGAACTGCACCACAGGGTCTACCAGGCTGTCAATCTTCACAGAAGCAAAGCCCAAACCACACCCACTGCTGTGGAGTCCATTCTGACTCACAGCGCCCCTAGAGGACAGAGTGGAACTGCACCACAGGGTCTCCAAGGCTGGAGTCTTTACGGAAGCTGACTGGCACATCTTCTTCCTCCGGAGCGGCTGATTGGTTCAGACTGCTAAGCGCTTAACCACTGCATCACCAAGCCTCCTCCAGAATGCCATAGGTTAAGACTAATGCAGAATCCAGAAGAAATCACCAGTAATAATAATGGTACAGGTTTGCTTGGGAAGAAAGTTAAGATCCTAAAAGGAAGAATTAAGTGAAAGCTGCTGGTGTTAGTGGACAGAAGTCTTTGGACCATCAAAGACAAAAAAAGAAAAACTAAACTCACTGCCATCAAGTTGATTCTGACTCATAGCAACCCCCTTTGGGTTTCTGAGGTGGTCTATCTCTGCAGAAGTAGATTGCCCCATCTTCCTTCCATGGAGTGACTGGTGGGTTTGAACCACCAACATTCTGGTTAGCAGTCAAATGCCTTAGGCTCCGTACCACCAGAGCTCCTTATCAAAACAAAGGAGTAATGGAAATACTGAGAAAAACTTCAACTTTTCACTCTGTATTCATGATCGCTCCTTGCTTCCTTTTTCTCTGTCTCCCTTAACTTGCCTGTTTTCTATCTCATTTCCTTCTTTCCTACTTTCACTCTTTTCTTCTAGCATTTATCATGTTGTTGCATGCTGTTGAGTTAAATTCCAACTCACGGCACCCCTACAGAACAGAGAAGAACTACCCCTTAGAGTTTCTGAGGGTGTAATCTTTACAAAAGCAAAGACCAAACCAAACACACTGCTGTGGAGTCTATTCTGACTCACAGCGCCCCTGGAGGACACAGTGAAACTGTCCCACAGGGTTTCCAAGGCTGTCAGTCTTCGCAGAACCAAAGCCCAAACCACACCCACTGCCATGGAGTTGATTCCGACTCACAGCACCCCTAGAGGACAGAGTGGAACTACACCACAACGTTTCCTAGGCTGTCACTCTTTACAAAAGCAAAAAGTCCAAACCAAACCCACTGCTATCAAGTCAAGTCTGACCCACAGCACCCCTAGAGGACAGAATAGAACTTCCCCATATGGTTTTCTTTTCAACTTTCTATTGCCAGTTGGGTGAAAGTTCACAGAGCAAATTGGTTTTCCATTTTCCATTCCACAATTCATACACATTTTATTTCCCATGGGGTTTCCTAGTGTGTAATCTTCATAAGAGCAGATCACCAGGTCTTTCTCCCATGGAACCACTAGGAGGGTTCAAACTGCCAGCCTTTCGGTTAGCAGCCAAGGCCATAACCTCTTAGCCACTAGGACTTCTTGTTTATGCCTGTGCATTAATACTCTCCCTTTGTGAAGGAAAAAGTGCAAGATTCCTAGTTTTCGTTTTCATTTTTCATAAGGAGAAAGTACAATGAATGAAAGCGTCACAGCATAAGGCCTAGTGGTCCATCGCCTGAGAATAGGCAGCTAAGTAAGACAGTTGCTGAAGGCTGGAGGAGTCCATAGTTCCTGGTGATGCAGACAATCACATGCTCAGCTGCTCACCAAAAGTCTGGAGGTTCGAGTCCACCCAGCGGCACCGTGGAAGACAGGCCTGGTAGTCCACTTCCAGAACCTCAGCCACTGGAACCAGTTCTGCTCTGACACACATGGGTTCAGCCTGGGTTGGAATGGACCTGATGGCAGCTGGTATTTAAAAGAGAAACAGGCGAAACAAGAGACAAGCACACAGAGTGAACTGTAACACCAGGGAGGTACACACTCCTCGGAGCAGTCAACCAGACAAAATTAAAAGACAACATTTGCCCTGGAAAGAAACTCAGAAGGCAGGAAGGGACAGGAAAGAAGGACACAGGGGAATGGGAATCACAGGGAAGAAGAGGGAAGAGTGTTGCCACATTGTGGGGATTGCAGTTGATGTCACAAAACAAAACGTATATGAACCATTGAATGAAAAAACAATTTGCAGGTTCTGGTCCAAGACGGCGGACTAGGCAGACACACTCTACAGTCCCTCTGCAACAAAAGCTCAGATAACAAGGGAAATAGCTACAGAAAACTACCCTGCATCTCAGAGCTTGAAGTAGATCAAATACTAAGGAGAGGAAGAGACTGAAGGAAAGCAGTGAATAAGGAGCAGTAAACTGCCAACCAGCAGGACTCAGCCATTTTGAATTATTGCAAGCAGCATTCTGATCAGAACAGAAACCAGATAACTGGCTCCAGTTGCCCAGAACTCCACCAGCACCCACATCAGTGATCAGGTGACTAGAGAGTTGGGAGCCACTGACACTACCCAACCTTACCCAACCACACCTGCTGGCCCACCCACTAAGCAAATATCACTACCCACTCCAGCACTACTGGACCAGCAACATACAGTAGCTAACACCTGCCCAGCCTGCCTTCAGCTGCTCTGGATGATCAGTGATCGGAGATGTGCCCACACTCCCATCTGCTACCAAATCTACCCAGAGACAGGTGGTGAACACTCCAGTGCTGCCAGACAAGTGACCACAGAAACATGACCACCTGTTGCCTCAATATATTAAAACAGAATATAAGAAATTAGGGTGAAGCAAACCAACATATAATCAACAATTAATACATAACACTACTCTGTCTCAGAGACAACTCAAATCACATTTAAAAAAAAAAAGGACATGATGCCTCAAACAAGTGAGCAAAATACAAAAACCAAAACCAAACTCACTGCTGACTGAGTCAACCTCAACTCATAGCAGTCCCTCCTTGGTTTTCCAAGGTGGTATCTCTACAGAAGTAGATTGTCCAGTCTTCCTTCTGAGCAGTGGCTGCTGGGTTTGAACCGCCAGCCTCCTGGTTAGCAGTCAGATGCCTTAGGCACTGCGCCACCAGAGCTCCTGAGTAAAGTCCAGGGCCAGCAAATCTGGGAAGAAGTGGAATTACCTGAGAAGGAATCCAAAAGAATTATACTCAGGTACCCTCAATGGATTGAGAGAAAGCTTGAGGAAAACACACACAAAACACTAGAAGAATTAAAAAAAAAAAAAATGCAAGAACAGATTGAGAAAACAAATGGAAAATTAGAAACCACAGAAAAATAGCAAACAGAAATCCAAATGATTAATCCTAAACTTTCAGAAATGAATGCTGCATTGGAAGACAAAGGAGTAGAAGAACTGAATCAATGGAACACAGAATTAACATGATTGAAGACAAATCTCTAAACACCAATCTGTTGGAGGAACAATCAGAAAAAAGAATTAAACAAAAAGAAGAAAGCTTAAGATTCATGTGGGACACAATAAAGAGGAATTGCTTAAGGGTGACTGGAATTCTAGAGCAGGAAAAGAGAAAAAAGAGCACTGAGAAATGTATCAAAGATCTGTTGAAAGAAAACTTCCTCAGTATTGTGAAAGATGACAACATACGTAGTCAAGGAGCTCAGTGAACCCCAAAGAGGGACCTCAAAAGAAAGTCACCAAGGCATATCATACTCAAACTTGCCAAAAACAAAGACCAAGAAAGAATCCTGAATGAAGGCAGCTTGGAAAAAATGAAAGTTCACTTTCAAAAGAGAACCAGTAAGACTAAACTCTGGTTTCTCAGCAGAAACCATACAGGTAAGGCAATGGGATGACGTATATAAAACGGAAAGAAAAGAACTGCCAACCAAGAATTAAATATCCAGCAAAATTGTCTCTCAAATATGGTG